CAATCACAATCACGATCTGGAAACTTTATCTACAAGAAAAAAACTCATCCTCAAATGTTTTCCCATTGCTATCGTCAGATTAAATCAAGCAACTGAGTACACTACAGTCAGATACGGCCCACCCCTAAATATTCTACACCACTCTACAGTTAATCATATAATAACTTTTTTATTTTTAAGGCGTTATATGGGAAGTGGTCGAAAAAGTGATTCAATCTGAATTATTTTTCATAGCGTTCCTCCTTGGGTCAAATATGACGGTGTACAAAATTTCATCAATATAACTCAAAAATTGCGACTTGTAGGTTAAATAAAAAGAAACAAGTCGGTCAAACGGACGGACAGATTTAGATCATTTCAAAAAAGGATTCCGAATTGATCGATATAATGAAAGGTAGGTCTATCTCAAGTCCTTCTGGGTGCTTCATACGTCTGGACATCACAAGTGGGATAGGGTATAAAAATAAAGAAACTTCGGATCTTTACAGGCTTAAGTTTGGTTTTAAGGTCTGGCTAACCAAATCAATTTGAAAAATCGGACTAATTCAGAAATATATCGTCGCTCTATGTCACTGCCAGTGCTGTCAAATTTGAATCACTAACGTTCAGCCTTATGATTAGCGCTATGATCCCATATATATATATACATATTAGTTTGGGGAAAAAGAAATCCACTATTTTTATATGAACTTCAGGACTTTATTTAACATGCTTCGGATTGTCCGATTTGGGTCAAATATGCACCGTTTTGTTGTATGATTTGTTGCCATTTTAAAGGTGTTTTCAAAATGCCTCTCTCATAGAAGTCCTGGTCTCTATTTGCAAAAAACTCTAGTAGTCGATTTTCACAATCCTCCCTAGACTCCAATTTTTTATCATTAAAGAAATTTTGCAATGCAAGAAAAAGATGATAATCGCTTGGTGCCAAGTCCGGACTGTATGGCGGATGCATTAAAACTTCCCAACCAAGCTCCCGAAGTTTCTGGCGAGTCACTGTAGATGTGTGTGGCCTAGCGTTGTACTGGTGGAACACGACACCTCTCCTGTTGGCCAATTCTGGCCGTTTCTGGTCAATCGCTATCTTCAAACGGTCCAGTTGTTGATAGTAGAGATCAGAATTTAGCGGAAGCAACTCATAATAAATAATCCCCTTCCAGTCCCACCAAATGTATAGCAAAACCTTCCTGGCCGTTTGAGGTGCTTCACCGCTCTTTGACCACGATCGTTTTCGCACAGGGTTATCGTATGTGATCCATTTCTCATCTCCAGTCACCATCCGTTTAAGAAATGAGTCTATCTCATTCCGTTTGGCCAAGGCTTCGCAGATGGAAATGTTTTTTTCTGTTAATTGGTGTGGCACACAAACATCGAGCTTCTTTTTGAATCCAGCTTTGTGTAAATGGTTTAAAATTGTTTTATGGTCGATTTTTAGCTCCTGGGCGATGTTACGACTGCTAACATGCCGGTCAACTTCGATCATTCCTCCGATTTTATCGACATTTTCGACGACCGGCCTACCTGTGCGAGGTGCATCTTTAACATCAAAAATTCCTGAACGGAATCTACGGAACCAAAATTGCACACAATTGGCTGTTACAGTATCGGAACCATAAACACCATTCACAATTTTAGCCGCCTGGCTTGCATTTTCGCCTTTGTCAAAGAAAAACTGTAAAATGTACCGAATTTTCTCTTTGTTCACTTCCATTTTTAACACGCTGTAACTCACAACTGAATGCACCAAACAAAAAACAGCAAAAGAATTTTTTTTGCTGCGAAATGTCACCTTTCCAACGAGCATAAATCTGAAATTGTTTGATCGATGCTTTACGAGAAATCTATCAGTGCAGCCATCTACCGAAAAAATAATGGATTTCTTTTTCCCCAAACTAATATGTATATATATATATATATACGTAGATATGGACGATGTGAACTGTACGATATAGTCGTTCGTTACATTGGGCACAAATAGATGTACGGTATCCAACCTGGCTTAAGCCAAATACGTTCTCTTTCTTAACCTTGTAGCTTTTATTTGCACTACTTACCCATTAAGAGACTCGGCCCGAGGCATTATTCTATGTAAATGCTTTCGGGTAATTATTAACGGTACAAAGCAAAAAATTCCTTTTAGAAGTAACTTATTATCATGCGTAACGCAAAATATATGTAAACATGCGGCAGTAATCTCATCTCATATGCAAAAGAGTATGTTTTGTTTTTGCTTTTTTAAAAAATAATGTTATTGAACTTTTTCTGCGAATGATTCTGTATTTGCTCATGTTTACATACTTTATTTACACATTCTATGTGGAAGTTCTGATAACATTCCATGACTTTGGAAAAATTTTGCTACAGGCGCTTTTATATAATGTACACCGAAGGGCAAAGATATGCTAGGTTTGTTATTCAATTTGTAATGCCTAGAGATATGCAATAGAAATTTCATAATTTGTATTTGTTAGTAAGCCGGAAAGGGATTCGGACTTGATTTAGGCGTTTCTCTATGCATTTTGTTGTTGTTATTCTTTCTTAGGAAATGTTGTTTTAGGGCATTTTTACTTAGTACTTACTGTATCTCTCTTCATACCATCACCAAAGGATGACAGGTTCGCAACGCTTAGAAGGAGGCTTCAGGGACCTCTACAAAGTACATACATTTCTGATCAGGGTCTGTCCGTCTCTGTAATGTCTCTTGTAAATGCTTTCCTGGTTGCAAAAATGAAGCAAAATGTCCAAATCGATCAAGGAAGTCGTCTTCAGTACGAAGTAAATTGCTTTTGCCTGCTTCTTCTTATTTTTATATCCATCACCATAAGATGAGACATATATTCATTTTGTCAAAACGTTTGCAACGCTCACAAGGAAACCTAAGCCAAATTCTGAGCTGATTTAAGCACGTCCGTCCGTTCGTCTGTACGGATACGTACAGATAAACGTACAAGAATTTGCACGCATGTTCTATGGGCGATGCTGTATTGCCTACACAAAAATGGGAAAAATACAGCCCGCCTACCCAATATTATAATGTACCAAACTTTGTTTCCTTTTTCAATGCCTTCATAACGCCCAGAAGTATACTTGAAGAACCTCTTAAACTATTATATATTGTTGTTCAATTTCAAATTCGGAATACTCCGTCCGTACGTCCTTTATGTTCATTTGCCCATCTGTCCGTCTGTCCACCTATATGGTATTTGTGGTAAACATTTTCCCGTTCGCAAACAAAAGGTTTCAGCCCAAAAATTTAATTTTAAAGAACACGCATACAACTTGCACACCTCTACATAGCCAAAATTGAGAATAGCTTTGTGCTCTGTACCTTTTACTCTTTCCTCATAAGCTGCAACAGATACGCGATAAAAATTTCCACATCATTATTTTATAAAAATAGAAAAAATCTGCCACGCCCACCCAATACTATGAAGGATGCAAGTACATACTTTTCGTTTTTTTTTTTTTTTCAATCCTTTATAGGATAACGTTGATGGGTACAAAAATTTCGGTCGCAATCGAATGAAATTTTTTTGTTTGTTTTCTGCTGTGTCGGCTCTTTTTTTCAAGAAGGTAGAAAACGGCAAGAAATAGAATAACCTGCCTTAATAAAAATCGTGTAAGACAATTATGTTCCTTTTAATGCTGTCTTCTCTCTTTGCGCGATACAACACATTAACGCCAAGACGGACCTTTATGTGTATAACTTTGGGACGGTAAACAAGATCATTGTTGATAGGTTGTCCAAAAGGCGGTCAGTGCGATTAAAGAAAAACGTGGTAGTGTGTCGTACAGTACGTGGTTTATTTAATGTTTAATGTATATAATAAAATATATATGAGATACATATGTACATATATATGAACAATATAATTCAATAAAATACAAGATTGATCTAATAAAGCTAATACTGTGTTCAAAAGGTAGTACCAATACCAAAAAGGTACAAACTGCTTCCAAAAATGTATGATCGACTCAATGACTAAGTTACGTCTAATGTAACATCTGCTTAAGATCGCCGGCGTCGCCAAACCGGATAACTGGTCAGAAATTCGTTTGGCAAATTCGTAGAAATTCTAGGAATCTTGAAACTAATAAGTCTTTGCACCTTGATGTCGACTATGCATAGACAATATACTTTTTACACCGACCTAGAATCTTATCAAATTTGAAATTATTAATTAAAGAGTTCGTGTTAGGTAAAAAAAAAAAAAAAACAAATAAGGGTGCAAAAGGTTAAATATGTTATCCACTTGAGTACCCGAGTCAGCAAGAGATCTCAAGTAACAACACTGAACCTTTCTGTAGCGTATCAAGAAGTCATGTTAATAGACTGATATCGCAATGGGTACAAAAAAAAACAGATTGACTTGTAGGACAACAGCAAACAAAAAAATTCATAAAATCTTCTGGCATACCACACAAACACAAACTACTGAAACTACTCTTGCCCATAGCCTCTTCTTTATGGGTCACAATCCCCTCATTTACCACCCAAAAAAACATAGGCATCACCGATGGGCACAATCTCCCAAGGTACGAGTGGGACGTCCCATCACATTCTATCGGAATGTGAGGCCGTTTGTAGAATCCATGAAACATGAAGTGTTTGGCGAGCACTTTATACCTCCGGACGCGATAAAGCGCTTCGGACCAAAGAAGATGGCTAGGAGCAGGGCCGAATACAATAGATCTTTTCGGTCGCGGTGCGGATTGCCAACACTATTTAATACTAATAATAATAATAATAATAATAACGTTAATGATGGTGCGTTCAAATCTCGGGTGCGGTAGAGTTTTCAATAAAGCTGATAGCTAGATAGATGCTAATAATATAAGCTAATGGTTTAGGCTTGGAATTTATTTCTTTGGCTACAGCTAATTAAAATAATAATTATAATTGAAAATGTTAACGATATATGTTAAGTTTGCCTTTTGCTCGTCAAGGTTATGAGTCCAAGTTTTTTTAAATTTTTTTTTCTTTCTTTCTTTCTTTCTTTTAGAAACGCTTGGTAATAAACTGTGCCAATCATGGGAGAAGGAATTAAAACTAACCGAGAATTCCAAAAGAGAACCCAATCTTTTGCGGGCCACAATGCGAGTCTTTGGTTGGCGTTTTGCTCTCCTAGGCTTAGTGTTATTTATACTGGAATTGGGTTTCAGGTAAATAATAAAAAAATATTTTTTAAAATTTTTTCAAATTGCTTTTTCTTTTTCTTTTTGTCTTTTTTTTTTTTTTTTGTAGAACTTTACAACCGTTATTCCTATTGGGTTTAATTGCTTATTACACGAGCGGAGAAGAGAATATTCAAAGGGCGTATGTTTATGCAGCTGGTGTAATATTATGCAGTGCATTAAATGTCATCATAATGCATCCGTATATGTTGGGGACAATGCATATAGGTATGAAAATCCGTGTAGCCATGTGCAGTATGATATATCGTAAGGCGTTACGATTAAGTAAAACAGCGTTGGGTAACACCACCGCTGGCCAAATAGTGAATTTAATATCAAACGATGTTGGCCGTTTGGATTTGGCTATGCTTTTTATTCACTACTTATGGGTGGGACCATTAGAGACCCTATTGATTACGTACCTGATGTATAGAGAAGTAAGAAAATTCATTGTAACAGATTAGTTGAAAAGTTCACGGTGTGGAAAGGATGAAAAACTTTGAAATATTAGTTCAATATTAGTACATAAAACGATCTATTAAATTACATCTTAAGTATTATGCCCCAAATTCGGAAAAGCTTGATATAGATTACATTTCTTGATAAAATTTAATGAAATATAGCGCAAAACTTTTTGATATGATTAGGTGCTTGCATGTATTTTGATCATTTTTTCGCTTGAAAAAGGCATTTATTGAGAACAATTTCTTACCATATATATTAATCAAAATATTTCGACACCTTTGGCTCATCTTTCGAAAGAATGATCCAATCATTGGCCCATTCCCTTATTTCTTTAGCATTTCGAAACCGTGTACCAGCCAAGTCAAGCTGCCTCGATCTGGAAATGTGGTAATCAGAAGACCCTATATCTTGGTGAATAGGCTGGGTGCGGCAGAGCTTCCCATTCGAGCTGTAATAGTGTATCCTTGATAACTGTTGCAACATGTGCAAGAGGATGACTTTGCGTCTACAAACAACTGTTTCTGGTCTTTTTTGTAACGATACGCAGTTCAATTTATTTAAATGACATTGCTAGACGCAGTAAGAGTTTCATTCGGCTTTTACAGTTCGTAACTCCCTTGCTGGTCCTACCATATGCACAGCAAAACTTCATGAATGTGGTATCTATGTGGGTAGCTATTCTGGACTAACCTATGACTTTTTGTGCTTGGGATTGTCGTAGTAGGATCACTTTTCACTGCCAGCCACAAAATGCTAAAAAAAAAAAATTCTTTTTTTGACGAGCAAAGAACCCGGTTGGAAATGGCGTTTTCAGTCAATTCTTATGCTGAAGGTCATTTCCCCTTCTTAAGAATCTTTTCCATCGCATGCGAACGTATTCGAAAGTTCTATGAGAATTTGATTTGGCTTTGCCTCCAATAAGTCTTGCAATTGAACGTCTCTTTGAACTTTTCTGATCCTCCAGGCCGTTCTTTGTCATTGACGTCATAATCACCGCTTTTAAATCATTGAAACCAAAACCGATTATTGGGATATAATGAAGCAGCATTACCATAAGTTTCTGAAAGTGTTTGATAGACCTCGGCAATAGATTTCTTCAAAGCGCACAACAAAAGTATTGAATGTCCATTATTGAATGTCCATTATACACTGGATAACTCGATAATACTGAACTGCAAAACTGTTTGTTATCTTATGTAGAGAAAGATCGAAATCATCGAATTTAACTATCATGCTTATTGATAACTCGCATTACTTTATCATTTTCACCAATAGATGTCGCCGATTAGGATACCAGCAAGCATCTATTATTATTGTACTAAAAGCACACATTCTTACAAACAACGCTTTAAGCGGTCAACAGAGTTTGTAAGACCATTCATAGAGCATAGTGAATTGAAAAGAAAATTAATTACGGAAAATTTTACGTGTAAAGGTCAATTTTTTGGACTCTTCCTTGTTTTGCTAGCGTTTTCTTGAAAATCAAGTCTATATATGATAGTGAGATACAAAATTTCTATATTCTTTTAAGAGAAGTAGTATAGGCTTTGACCTTTTTTTTCTGCAAAATCATTAACATCTTACAACTTTGCTTTATCTTACTGGTCCGTGAACTTTTCAATTAGCCTAGCGATTATACTTAATAAAAATATTCTATGAAGAATCTTTCATTCCAATTTAGATAAAAATTGCTGCTGTTTTTGGTGTTGCCTTTATGTTAATGTTTATACCACTGCAAGGTTGGCTAGGTAATAAGACATCTGTTTTACGTTTACGTACTGCTTTGCGTACCGATGAACGCGTCCGAATGATGAATGAGATAATATCGGGCATCCAAGTTATTAAAATGTACGCTTGGGAAATGCCCTTTGGCCGGATGGTTGAATTTTCTCGCAAAAAGGAAATTAACAGTATCCGACAGTCTTCCTATATACGCGGTATCTTATTATCCTTTATTATGTTTTTAACCCGCGTCTGTATATTCTTAAGTTTGGTTGGGTTTGTTCTGCTTAGCAATTTCCTTACGGCTGAACAAGCTTTTGTCATCACAGCTTATTATAACACATTAAGAAGCACCATGACAGTATTTTTTCCACAAGGTAATACCAAGAATACGTTTATTTGGAAAAACAAATTTTTTTAAATGTTGATAATAACTTTTCGAAGGTATCACGCAATTGGCCGAAACTTTAGTATCAATTAAGAGAATACAAAACTATATGATGTACGAAGAAACTGATGTAGTGGACAAGTCGTTGGATACACTTGATGCCAATTATCCTGGCAGCAATCAATCTACGGTAATAAAAGATGATGATAAGGTTCTGGATGATGACGAAGCTGAGAAAGAACCGTTAGTTGCCAATAGTCATGCGGTGCTGTCGGAAGCTGGTATTATTATAAATAACTTAAAAGCCAAGTGGGATCCAAAAGCTTCAGAGCTTACGCTAGACGATGTTAATTTGCGTGTTCAACCCGGAACCTTAGTCGCGATTATCGGACCTGTTGGTGCAGGAAAATCAAGGTACTAACATTTGTAAGTTTGAAAAAGGCGGAGAGAACAAATTTTTTAATGATCTCATCCCGTGAACAGTATCATTCAGAGTATTCTTGGTGAATTGCGACCTGAGTCCGGGTCAGTTAAAGTGAACGGCAGCGTATCGTATGCTTCCCAGGAGCCGTGGTTATTTACAGGCACGGTACGGCAAAATATCTTATTTGGTCAACCGTTAGAAAAAAAACGCTATCGTGCTGTGGTGAAAAAATGTGCATTGGAACGTGATTTTGATTTGCTCCCGTACGGTGATAAAACTATTGTAGGTGAACGTGGCGCTTCATTGTCGGGCGGTCAAAAAGCCCGTATTAGTTTGGCGAGAGCTGTGTATAGAAAAACTTCAATTTACTTGTTAGACGATCCACTTAGCGCAGTAGATACCCACGTGGGACGTCATTTGTTCGATCAGTGTATGCGTGGTTTCCTAAAGGATAACATTGTTATTTTGATAACGCATCAATTGCAATTTTTACAAGCGGCAGATCAGATAGTAATAATGGAGAAAGGACGCGTAAGTGCAGTGGGCTCATATGAGTCGTTACGTGAAAGCGGTTTGGATTTTGCTCAGCTGTTAGCTGATCCCGAAAAAGACGAGAGCGCAAATAATACCACACGTTCCCGTTCTGGCAGTCATTTAGTTAATCGCCAAAATAGTGAGTCGTCTTTATGTTCGATCGCAGACTCATGTCTAGAGGAAACGCCGCAGCAGGTGCAGGAAACCCAAGAAGAAGGCCAAATTGGTTTCTATTTGTATAAGAAATATTTTAAAGCCGGCGGCGGTATTTTCATGTTCATTGTAATGTTAACCTTTTGTATTATGTCACAAATCTTGGGTTCGGCCGGTGACTACTTTTTGTCATATTGGTAAGCGAAAATTTAATAATTAAAAACAATATATATATATATAAATAAGAATTTCGTAATGTTTTAGGGTCACTAAAAAGGATAGATTGCAAGCTGATAGTAAAGGATTACAATTGCAAAGCGCTTTGGCTGACCTGCCAAACAACAGCACCGAAGTACCAAGTACAGATAATTCTCACAATATCGAGTCACAAATATCTGGTTTCTTGTCACAATACAATGTTTATATTGATCCGGAAATGATAGATATTTACGTTTTTACTATTATTACGGTAGCGACAATTGTGATAACGGTTGCCCGAAGTTATTTATTCTTTAATATGGCCATGAAAGCATCGACCAATTTACATAATGCCATGTTTCGCGGTATAACCCAAGCAGCCATGTATTTTTTCAATACAAATCCCTCCGGACGTATACTTAATAGATTTTCCAAAGATATGGGACAAATTGATGAAATTTTGCCATCAGTAATGATCGATGTGATACAAATCTTTTTAAGCCTATTCGGTATAGTGCTTGTCATCGCTGTAGTTAATCCATTAGTTTTACTACCCACTCTCCTATTGGCCATAATATTTTATAATCTGCGCACATTCTATTTGAAGACATCTAGAAACGTGAAACGCTTGGAAGCTATAAGTATTGAATGGCTAATAATGTCCATTTGATTGAAATTTTCTTATTTTCTTTTTTTTTTTCTTCTTTTTTCAATATATCGATCGATATATAGCTCGATCTCCTATTTATTCGCACATGGCTACCTCGCTTACGGGTCTGTCAACGATAAGAGCTTTCGGAGCTCAGCGCGTACTAATCAATGAATTTGATAATCATCAGGATTTGCATAGCGGTGTGTTCTTTATGTTTATTTGTACATCGCGTGCCTTTGGATATTGGTTGGATTGTTTTTGTGTTCTCTTCATAGCCATTGTAACGTTAAGTTTTTTCATTTTTGCACCGGCAAATGGCGGCGATGTCGGCTTGGCTATTACCCAGGCATTAGGCATGACCGGTATGGTTCAATGGGGGATGCGACAATCGGCTGAATTGGAAAACACCATGACCGCTGTGGAACGTGTTGTCGAATATGATGATATTGAGCCGGAAGGCGAGCTAGAATCTAAATTGGATAAAAAACCACCCGATTCGTGGCCGGAAGAAGGCAAAATTATATTCGATGAATTAAGTTTGCGATACTTTCCTGATCCGAAATCCGAGTATATACTGAAAGGGTTAACTTTTGAAATAAGGGCCAGTGAGAAAATTGGCATTGTAGGACGTACCGGAGCTGGTAAATCATCTTTAATTAATGCTTTATTCCGTCTTTCTTATAATGAGGGCTCGATAATTATTGATCAGCGAGATACAAAAAGCATGGGCTTACATGATTTACGCAGTAAAATATCAATTATACCGCAAGAACCCGTTTTATTTTCGGGAACTATGCGTTACAATTTGGATCCATTTGATGAATATTCCGATGCTAAAATATGGGAAGCCTTAGATGAGGTAGAAATTTAAGATAAAAAGCAAAAATTTTTCAAAATTTATTAATGCAACTCATAGGTAAAATTGAAAAAAGTTGTTCAAGAACTTCCAAGCGGATTGGAGAGTAAAATATCGGAGGGCGGTACCAATTTCAGTGTCGGTCAAAGACAATTGGTTTGTTTGGCTCGTGCGATTTTAAGAGAAAATCGTATTTTAGTTATGGATGAAGCAACAGCCAATGTGGACCCACAAACCGATGCCTTAATTCAAATTACAATACGTAATAAATTTAAACATTGCACTGTCTTAACGATAGCCCATCGTTTGCATACGGTTATGGATTCCGATAAAGTTTTAGTTATGGATGCCGGTCAAGTAATGGAATTCGGTACACCTTATGAATTGCTTACAGAAAGTCCAAAGAAAATTTTCCTAGGCATGGTTAAGCAAACGGGTAAATCAACTTATGATAATTTATTAAAAATTGCACAAAAGGTAAATATGATAATATCGCGATTCCTTTTAATCACCTTTTATAATCAATCATTATCATCATTTAAAGGCTCATGAAGAATCTCTTAAACAGAAACTGGAGTAAAAAAGTTTACTTGGTGGTCAATTATGAATTTACTTAAATTTTGCCGTAACTAAAGACTCATCAGTTCCTCAGTATGGTCAGGATAATATACATATATATATATATATAAATTTTTTTCTTATTTTAATATATGTTAGTTAATTTCATTTTGAAATTAGTTTAAAATGTATTTCAATTTCTAAATATGTTATACTGTGTTATACTTTTAGTTTTGATTTTTTTTTCTTTTTTTTAAACTGGTTTCCTTAGTTCTTAAGATGTTCAAATTTAGTTCTTTGATATAAGTAAAAAGATTTCTAACTGAGAACATATAATTTAATGTATTACTATATACATACTTAAATTTTCCTTTCTATTGTAAGGAAAATATGACAAACCAACCTACCAATATATGCGTAAGTGTATTTATGTGCCTTTCTATACGTCAAATATCGCAAATCAATTATATATAAATTTAATATGATATGAAAATTGGAAAAATTAGATAAAAAATTTCTTCTCTTGCACATTAAAAAAAAAAAAAAATGTTGTTTTAATTCGAAGAAAACACGAGAGTATACGAAAGTACCAAACCTTCTTTTTATTGCAACTTTGACTGCAATAAATTGATTTTAAGATAAGTGAAAGAAAACATTAACTAAAACAAGCGAAACGACTATAGTGTGCTGCAGCCTGCCATCAAACATCCTATGACGACCTTTTAGAACAAGGCTTTATATGAGAAGCGGTCTGATCAGAATCAGTACCACTAATGTCTTAACATTCTTAACAAATTCGTCAAAATATCTCAAAAATTGAGGCATAGGTAGGTTACGGGACGTACGGACGAACAAGCTTAGATCGATGTAGAAACCTATTTTGAGCCGATCCGACCTATTTTTGGTCCATCTGGATTTCCAATATCCTTAGGTAAAAAAAAATTTCCTCCAAATATATCAAAAATTACAATCTTGAGGTTAAAAAGAGGGAAGTAAGGAAGGTGGACAGAAACACTGACAAGCTTAGGTCGATTCAGGAAGTAACTCTGAACCGACCGGTGCTATTTGTAGTCCTTCTGACTATTGGATACATCCTAACAAACTTAATATACCCTCGTAGTGTAAATGATGTTGGGTGTAATATATTATAATAGAAATTAAACTACAATGTGGGGCGCTGCTCACCACCAAATATCCTACATCATTTCCTTTAGTACTGTTATTCATGTGTCGTCTTCCCAAAATTAGGCCTTATAGAATGAGAATGATCAGAAAAGTGGTCCGATACGAACCAGTTGGTCATTGAGACAAAACACGTCACTATACCGAATATCATCAAAAGATCTCAAAAATTGCGACCTGTGACGAACACGCTTAGATTAGTTGAGATTGATATATATGTAACAATCATTATCACTTCATATATATATAAAAATGTTCTTCTTAAGCCCTTCTGTGTGTTGCATATATCCGCACTAATTTAATATCCACAAGTCATGTAGGGTATAAAAAAAGCATAATGACCTGTGAAATTCGAAGTTCGCTCATTTACTTACTCTCTCAAGTTGTGAAATTCGAATTTCGCTC